ACTGGCGTGTGATCCTGACATAAGCATCTAAGAAAAATAAATAGAAACGTATCACAGAACAAAATAAAATAGCACACCAAGTTGAATAAATACAGAACTTTCATTCTAGTGAATTCAGCATCAGAAGCTGCTTCAAAACTTTCGTTTGACTTGTTTCCCTAACTTCACCCGCGAGCATCATTTCATCGACGACCGCATACACCTAGAAGTGGAAAATAAAACTTAGGCTACGAAAAGCAAAGAAAAACGAATACACGTCCTAAATCATACTTCACAGCGTATTTATCGGGGGAGGGGGTGGCATTCAGGCAGGCCATAGCTCTATGCGTCTAGCAATGCTTGAGAAATGCGTCTAGGATCATTTTGTTATGACAGAGCCATACTACGCCAGTTTATATATTCCGACGAACAACGAGCCTATGAGGAGTACCAGCTCCTGAAACATTACTCATGATAAGAGCTTGCTGACGTACCTCTACCGCACAAAGTGTAGTGGCAGGGTTGAGCTGTATTTTATGACTGTTGCTACTTTTCTTCTGTTGGTATGTGATAGTTTAATCCATAAGTTTTACAGGATATCCGCAGACTCTGAACGCTCCTCGATGTAAGTCAATGTTCTCGAAATCTATCACTCTACGAGCTTAATTTGAAACATCCATTAACCAGAGTTTCAGCGACATCTTTTCGCACTATAGGAATAATCTGAATCGAATATCAGTAATTAATAAGACTGTAACTTTTCCACAGTGCATTATTAATTTTCATTCATATTTTATACACTTAACCTTATATTCTAAACTGCAATGGCCAATATGCATTACAACTCTTTCTACCATCAATTTTGAGCAGGTTATTTTCTCTTGGAATCCAGCGATGATGGGCTCCTCGTGCCACGTGTCCAGTCCATTGATATCGAGCAATGATATCGCAGACTTATTTGCATTCCTACCAACTCATTTGTTGTCATATCTTTTCATGTTATTCCCATCATAAATCTTTCCATACTGTATTGCATTGCCTGCAGTTCATGAATAGCTTTCTAGCTTTGACGTTTAAATTTTCGCTGGATCAGGACAGCTGAAAATGGCAGAAAACAGAAGTTTGTGGCAAGCCTTATTCGATAGGCCTAATTCCAGCAGTGGAGCGTCGAAGGCTGAGATGATGATGACAATGATACAGAACTAAAGCTCTTGATATTTTCCAGCATGGGTTCGAATCATGATGTCGATCAGCCCGTTGACAAAGCGTTGTAGTGCATTGCTGAAGAGTAAAAGTTTTACTTTTAAGTCGATAGGCAAGTCTTGGCACAAGGGTTGGCTTACAGTCATATCAGACATTACAACATGGGACAGAATGCAATGGCAAATGGTAAAAAGAATTGCGGGGATGCAACCCTTTGTGACATGAAACAAGTCAAGTAAGTCTCATACACTACTGCTACATACAGTATCGGTACTTAGGCTGAAAAACTACTTATACAAATGCAAAGTGAAAATATTCCGAAAATAAACATAAACGCACAAGCCTACCTTATAAAAATTGAATACTAAATCAAGCTCGCAAACATTGTGAAAGTACTCGTTGAGTACTTCGACAAAGTTATGAATCGCCTCCAAATAGTACAGGTTGTTGTCGCCGATGTCGACACAGATGCAGAAGTAGAGACCCGCATATCGGCGATAAACTATCTTGAAATTGCGAAACTGAAACGAGACAGCATTTAATGTTTAAACCAAAGACGACGGTGATACAAAAACAGTACAAATTTAGAGTAAATAAATCGAACGATACGCAAACGTTCAGTTAATACAATGAAACTCTATTTCCGTTATCAGCAAGGGTGTAATGGCAACATACACTAAGGCGACCACTATAATCAATTTTTTGTTTCCTTTCCACATAGTAGAGCTTTTTTATCGATCTGAGAGAGATCAAATCGAGTAATCTAATCATAATCCTAACCCGCAATCTTCTGACTGGGTGTAATACTTAATCGATCAGCCTGAGTTGGACAATTCATCCAATTTTAGAAACAAACTGAGGGAAACTTTCAAGAAAGTACAATAAGGATACCAAAGAAATAGAACAAGGGCTGTATATTTATAATGCGACGTCAACAAATGATCCCGAACATTTTTTTTCAAGCGATTCTA